GGCATTCCCGGGTGCCCGAGTGTTTTCCCTATGGTCACAGGGAGACTGCCATAGTTGTTGGCATTGTCTGCAAACACCACGGTATCTAAAAAGGCCAGACTGATTTAATGTCCCAAAGATTTCCTTGAGACCAGACCAGATTTTCCATTGTGCAAGTCAGAAAATACTGTAACCAGTACTCAATCTATTTTTTTTTCAATATATGAAATTTATTGTCAAATTGGTTTCCATACAACACCCAGTGCTCATCCCAAAAGGTGCCCTCCTCAATACCCATCACCCACCCTCCCCTCCCTCCCACCCCCCATCAACCCTCAGTTTGTTCTCAGTCTTTAAGAGTCTCTTATGCTTTGGCTGTCTCCCACTCTAACCTCTTTTTTTTTTTTTCCCTTCCCCTCCCCCATGGGTTTCTGTTAAGTTTATCAAGATCTACACAAGAGTGAAAACATATGGTATCTGTCTTTCTCTGTAAGGCTTATTTCACTTAGCATCACACTCTCTAGTTCCATCCACGTTGCTACAAAGGGCCATATTTCGTTCTTTCTCATTGCCATGTAGTACTCCATTGTAACCAGTACTCAATCTAAATAAACACAGAAATGTACTGCTTCATCAGTGATCTAGGGAAGATAGTAAATGGAAGATTTAATCTCAATCATTGGCCTATTCCTCCTTTCCTAAAAGGGGATGGAGAACCTAATTCAAAAGAGTATGGAAGCCATGCAGTTGCTGTCCAGGCAATTGCCTGTTTCCCAGGAAAAAAAAAAAGAATCAGCTTTTTTCCCCCCATGACATATATTTGCTATTGTTGGTTGAAATACATTTTGTTGAATAATTCAACCTGCTTTATCTTCTCTTGTGAACAGTTTTTTTCTAAGAATTTTAATTTTATGGTTTAGTGGACATTTCGCTCAACTAACAGCAATTTGTGGTAATAGTCTACTTTCTTTACGTGAAAATATTGGGGAGCTGCAATGTAAAGAAATTAGCACTTTGGAGCTGGCTAGTGAGGATTGTACCTCAAACAAGCTTCATAAGCAGAAATGCCTATAGGGGCCAGGTGGTAACTGAATGAGAGAATTGGGCCCAGGGGAGGAGACTGTGGCCAGGTGGAAAGCACGCATTTATTAATGGATGACAGCCACCATTCAGCTGTAATCAATAGTCGCCATGTTGGAACTGGGCCTAGAGTTGCCAGATCATTTGAGTTTTCAAGAAGAAAAAATAAAATGGCTGACTTATTTGTGCAATTCCTGACTTTTAGATATTGGCCATGTCGAAAAAAAAAACCCAAAAAATAAACAAAAACATATACCTGTGTGAGCCAAACAAAACCATTTGTGGGAGATATTTATTCTGTGCACTACCATTTTCAATTTTTAAACTATCCCATCTGTTTAAACTATGGAGTGCAGCAGTTGGTGAATAGCACCTCTTACCAGTGTTTGTGCTATGGAGCGAGTGGGTGTAATTCTCCACGGAAATAGTCGTACACCTAACTGAATGGACTTGAACTTCACCCCACTAATTTGTCACTTGTGGTAGGGTGTGAACTTACTGTTTCATAACAAGTCCTTAATAGATTTCAGGTTGGTCCTCCATTGCTAACCATGGGGAAGTTAGGATAGAAGATTAGAAAAATTCAGAGGTTGGACCCAGGAAGCTTGAGGAAACTATCCTGTGCACCTGCACCATCCCTCCCGTGGTCCATTGCTAAATTCTTTCATTTATTGTGATCCAAGTACACCTCCTTTAAATAGCAGATCCCCTATTCCTGCTTCCTCAGCATCTATGATTATTTTAATAGGGCTGTTATTTCCTCTGCCATACCCCTCCAAGTGTATGGCTAAACTATAAACTTTTCCTACGACCACCAAACCTCAGCTTTGATACACATTTTATTACTGTGATCAGATGCCAAAATGCTAACCTCCCAAATAAATTCCTCTGAAACTATGAAAATAATAGAAAGGTACATAAGCCTAAGTTCTCTTTGGTATGTAGGTAATTTTACTTTGCATTGGTTCTTGGTCAAAAATGATTGCTTACCACTGCTTCAGAAAATCTGTCTCTTTAAATCATTTTATTTATTTATTTATTTATTTATTTATTTATTTATTTATTTAGAGAGAAAGAGCGTGAGCAGGGGAGGGGCAGAGAGGGGGAGAGAGAGAATCCCAAGCAGGCTCCACACTGACTGCACAGAGCCTAACGTGGGGCTTGATCCCAGAAACTATGAGATCATGACCTGAGCTGAAATCAAGAGTCGGACGCTTAACTGACTGAGCCACCCAGATGCCCCAAAAGTCTGTCTTTGTAAATACTAAAATTAAAAATCAGTAAACTGTACTGGAGTGTTTCAAGTTAGTCTATGCAAAAAGGATCTTCTATTAAAATATCATCTGCCCTATAACGTCAGTCCCTTTAGATTCAACTAGGAGCTTATAACTACAAAACTTAAATAATGTGGACTCCACCAACTTAGGAGTTATAATAGTTCAGGAATAGTTGGGTAAAATTTGTTGCCTGAATAATCTCTGAGGGACAAGTGTACTCAACAAAGTCCCATATAAATCAGGACATCTGTTTGGCCCAATTAAAAACGAAAATCAACAACTATGTGGTGCCTGGGTGGTGCAGTCGGTTTAGCATCTGCCTTTGGCTCAGGTCTTGATCTCAAGGTTTCTTGAATCTGAGCCCCACCTCTGGCTCTCTGCTTCAGAGAGCCCTCTCTCTGTCCCCCTCTCTCAGCGCCCCCCCCCAACTCATGCTCTCCCTCTGTCTCTCAAATATAAATTAATAAAAACTTAAAAACATTTGAAAGCCAACAACTATTTTCAATAGCAAACTGACACAGAAAACAATGAATCACTGAATGCAAATAATTCTTAGATAGACAAGATAATCTCTGAATTTGTATGAAAAAAATACATAGCACTAAGTAGTACTTGGCAGTGTGACTTTTGTGACCTTGGCCAAACCACTAAAACATATTTGAACCTTCTCTCCTCACTCATGGGGGTATTACCTCATTATAAATGTTGTTAGGAGGATTAAATGAACAGATTGTGTGTAATTATTATCATTGGTTTAGTGACCTCTTCAAGGTCTGGACTCTAGATATTCAAATTTCTAGTTCATTGTTTTTTTTTTTTTAACTGTTCTAGTTTATTTTGGTTGAGGGATTCAGAATAATAAAGAAAGGAATTGGAACCTAAGGACAAGTGATTTTTTTGTTTAAAGATGTTCATAAAACATTTTATGGTATCTTTTTGTCAGCATCATTAAGTTTGTGTTTCTGTTCACAAACTCATTCATAAAAGCATAAAAAGTGGGAAGACTCTAGGAACAGGGAAAATTCATGTAACCATTGAATCTCACTTTACACATTTTAGAGCTGAAATGTTATTGGTTGATGAATGTTTACCTCTGAGTAAATGTCTCCCCACTCCATCCTTAGCAATTAATATCTGCAAATAGAGAACTATTTAAATCTAGAGGAGAGACACATTCCCTTGAATCTAACAACAGATAATGCAGAGTGCAATCACCTTCCTCTAGGATGGTCCTACAAACTGGTATTACATAGATATTGAATTATATATAGCAAAAAAGCTTTTAAAAAATTACATTTCTGGTAATATGGAGCTGCAGAATATTCTTAGTTCATAGGTGATATGCTGACATGTTTATTAATTATATTGTAAACAAATTGAATTTTTCCTGGTGTTAAACATTCACATTCATTTAGAGACCCAAAGAAAAAAGCTAGAGAGAAAAAGATCACCCATGATTAATGCTGACCTGTCTAGACTTTAGAGTACCTCTTTAGTCTAGTCTGAAGTGTTTCTGATTGTCGTACTCAAAAAAAGGAAAAAGGTTGTGATTTTAGAGACAAAGAATGAACAGGGTGTGGGCATTTTTTAAAACTTCCCCACCTCTCTCCAAGAAAAACTAAATTTTTCACCAAGAAAACTAAATTTTATTTGCTATTTAGTCCCTTTCTTTTCATGTGTGTTTTTTTTTAAAAGTGTAACAACTCAAATTTATATTTGAGTTCAGTGGGATTGTTTGTGTTTCTTTTCCCAAAAAACCATGCAGTTTCTTTTATTTGCCAATTATGGTATGCTGTTACTAAGCCTATGAGAAGTCTCTCTGTGAAGTGCATTTTAATATTTAGATCAAACAGTGATTGGAATACATTAATGCCCAGTGGGTAAATGTGTCATTTGAAAGCAGCTGCTGAGCCTTCTCCCTGCTGCTCCAATTAACACATACAGCACACTTTTGTCAGCAAGAGGCAGTGCATATGGATGAAACCACTTTAGTGCTCATTAATATGATATGCACGAGAGCACAAAGGGTTAATCAATCTGCTCATTGCAAAACAATAGCTTTCTGGGAAGTTTCCCAAGCATGTGCTTTTGTGATCAAGGGTGCTAGGATTAGGGGGTGGGATTAGCAGGTAAGAAAAAGCCGGTTCAGTCTCCAGCTTTGGTTCAGTCCATTGACTAACGTGTTTCCCCGCCCCTCTCATCTCCTACACCGCCCCCCGCCCCTGGTGATGGAGATGTTGGAGAGTGAAATTGTAGTGCCGGGACTCCTCGGGCTTCAGCTGAATCTCTTGTTGAACTTTGTTGTTTTGTTTTGAAGCTGTTTGAAGTCCAGAGCTTTGCAGTTTATCTTTTTTTCCTTTTAGTCTTTCGTTATTTTACTTTCTCTCTCTTTTCCTTTATTGTTTTTTTTTTAATTGCACATTTGATAGTTTATTGAGCAAAGTAAGAAATCTTGTCAAGGTAAACCCATATCGCTGCTATTTTTTTTTCACCTCCCATGGCTAAAGTCTCGGCGTCGATGGTAGCACAGAAGCCGATGGAAGGGTAGCGCGTCCCCAGTCCCCAGGTTTGGTGTTCGGCGTTCATACGCCACCAGGTCCCGGAGCAGCTGGGCTGTTGCTCCTCTCTGGTGCTGGCTGAACCAGGCTGCACGGTGAGTGAGAGATGGACCGCTTCCTGGGTTTTGTCAAGCAGATAAGAAGATCTAGGAGAAGAAAGGGGAAAAAGTACCGACCAGAAGAGGATTACCACGAGGGCTATGAGGATGTCTATTATTACGCCTCAGAGCATTTTCGAAGTAAGCACTTCCCTCCACCCTCCGGTTCCTTCTAGCACGCTGGGCTAACAATAAACCTTGTATGGAGCTTTAATGTTACATGCAAAAGGTTTCCCAGATGGTGTTCTCTGTGAGCAGTCTGTAAGTACTGAAGTGCTACATTTTGCTTGATTTGTTGCAAGAACAGCTATCAGATAGCATCTAGACAGTATAACCCGTCCAGTACTATGCCTGGTTAATATTTTAGGTGCAATTAGTTGGTTATGTTATTGTTGTAACGAACCATTCAGAAAAGTATATCTTGCAAGCCAATGTGGTAGTTAGAATATGTTCTGTTGTAGTTGTTTTTAAATAACAGGGTTTTTTTTTTCTTTCCAAATAGAGAAGGCTAGCTTATTAGGAACAAATAATTGTTCATGTTCAACTTGATGTTGATTAATGTTCCTGATACAGACTTCTAGATAGTTATCTGTGATTAACCTGAGGTATTGCTTGTAGAAGGAAGTTCAAATTATTTTCTCTGATGCATGTTCATCATTTTATTATTAAATTAAGGGAACACTTATTTGCTGTCAACTAGAAGCAGTGATACCTTTAGAATCCACATTAAGACATTTGTAAATTAGCTTATAAATAGCAGAGCAGAGACCTAGGTCTTTCTTGTACTTATCAGTGCTTTAAGTTCCTGGTGAGGTTTAGACTCATCCCCATAGATTTATAATGCCCAGAAATGCCTAAAGGTACAGAGAGAAAGCAGCTACATGCAGAAATCACTGGGTTTATGAAGTGCCCTAAATGTGGGAGACTGACAGTTACATATACTCTATACTGACAACACTAAAAGTTATTTTTTTATCTTCTTGAATAAGGATCTTTCTAAACTCGTATTTCAGTTGTAATTCAGTTCTAATTCTTTCTGGCCTTTTGATGTCTAATCATGAATATATCCTACTTACAACCTCTGAGCGGTGACTAATAAATAATTTAGATTCTATTTCTGTGATATTGAAATGCATGAGAATTAGTGTTAATGCCAGAAATTCTGTTGTCATTGATGAAAGTTGAAGGTTGAAGATTCGTGTGGTGGTAATAACATAATAATGAAAAATTTTAACTCTTTGACACTTGCTCAAATAAAATGGCTATGTTGCTTTTACAATCTCTGAGTTGTAGAGATGTTTCTCTTTTATAATGCTTTTACATTAATAATTTGTCCTAATGTGGTGACAGTATATGTTTACTAACCTAGTTTCCACAATATACTTAAAAAATTAACCGAGATTTGTGTGACATCAAAAAATACTATCTGCTTGCATGCACTATTCTGAAAACCTGGAGGTTGAAAAAAAAAGAGAAGCTTAGGAACTTTCATTACACTGGTGTCCATTGTACAGATTTCTCACAAGCACTATGTGTTGAGTCAAATTCACACCTTCTCGGGTTTGTGCTCTATGTGCTTGTACAAATAGAATCAAATTCTCTCTCTCTGAAATATGCCTGCATCCTAATAGGTTTAGTAAGAATTTAGAAAACAAAATAAATACTTTAAAAGTTTACAAAATATGACTGTGCAGAGAAATATTTATGAAAGTGTCTAAGAAATATCCTCGAATTAGAGTTAGGAGAATGATATATAGCTATGGCATTAGTCTTTATACATCAAGCGCAGTAACTTAGAAGCCTGTCTTCACTTATCTGATTTGTGAAGGTCATGCTGAGGATACGATACTAAACATCAAAAGTCACTTGCTTTAGGTATATAACCGGCATGTTTTCCCCTCACTTTATCAGAAAACACCAATTTACTTTGTGGAGTTAGATGCATGTTGAGTCCTCCAACTTCCAACTGCTGCATAATAAACAGAATGTGTCTCAGTGGAGTCAGACACTTGGGATTTGACATTTCGTCAAATGTCAAAGTGCCAGGGCTTTTAAAGAAGACATGTCATATAATATAATGACCTCTCAGTGCACCTTTTGGCTTCGGTTTCAGGGCCTATTTGAATTGGGTAGGGAAGACATCCACTTATATTTTACGGCTATAGAAATGTATTGAAGGGTGAGACAGATCCTTGAAAGTAATCCTCTCAAATGGGTAATATGGTTGGATTCAATTACATCTACAGTGTATCTATTTTAATTAGTCTCTGGCATAATTTGAAAGTGTGTGCCCTGTGTTTCCCTAGATAGCTTAGAAAAACTGTTTAGATTAAGGCTCAAAACTTGGTGGACTTTACGGAGGATATTCACATCTTAATGGTGCTATTGATAAACCAGAAGTGTCATTCTTATTTTTTTCTCCCTGTAGTTTTTTTTTTCCTCGAAATAAACTTAACTCTCTGTCTTGTCAGTTTATTTAGTGGTTCAGATTACCACAAGGATTCTATGCATATGATAGTGAAAGATGGAGCTAGAAAAACCTTCTCAGAAAACTCTCCAGTAAGTCTGCTTTTCCCTTAATACATTCTCAAGTGCTCGCTGATATTTAACTTTATCCTGAACAATGTCTCTTCTGCTGTGGGCTCGGATTAGGATGTCCCCATCCTTTTCCTTCATCTTAACTACAACACAGTTTATAATCTCATGAAATGTCAAAGCCTGAATCAAAATGTCATAGGGTCTGATGCTACAGAAGAGAAGTTGTTCTAAAAATGGATGATTTTTCTGCAACTCTATCAAAACTGAGTTTTAGCAATGATGACAGTAATGATAGACTGATTTTATGCCTTCCCTGATTTTATATGGACTTGATGTGTGTCACGGTGCTTGGGATGGCCGTATTTGATTTTTTTAATTCTGCTTTCATTACTCGTCTGTCTTTTCAGAATTCTAGACTTAGAGTTTAAATAAACTAGACAGATGCTTTGGGAAAATCACCAAACTTTCCTGGGTTGTTTCCTAAAATATAACAAGAGATATCTTTATTTCTTAGGATGTTTCAAGTTCTATAAGTATATGATCTTAAGCTTTATCTCTGAAATAATTTACATAAAGGTATTGGCTGAAGGATTTTAACTGCAATTTAAACCAAAAAAATTCACCCGAATATCCTGAGGGAATTTTTTTCCTGGAAGGAATTGTCAGTAGGGAGATTCCTATTCCTTTAAGATAGTAATCTATCATTGAGCCTGAGGCAGTTTTGGAGAGTGTTTATACCTATGAAATTCTGAACATATTGGTAAATCCTAGACTTCATTTTTTACTTTATCTTATCTGCCAAGAAGCACCATTTGCTCTGAAAATCTCACATAGATGACTCATTTGGTATTTTTTCCTTAAGGGAAACTTGCATTGATTACAAAACTGATTCATAAACCTGAATGTAACAAAAAGTTAGAAAAGGATCCTGAAATTCAATTTTATTGTGTTTTGTGCTTGTATTTGTTTTTCACAAAATACTGTGTTATGGCAATTCCCCTTTAAAGGCTTTGGCATCTATTTTGATTAATCAGGCAATAAATAAACCCTCTGGCCCTATCAAATGTATATTTTTATTTAACCACACCAGATAATATTCAAGTGGTAAAACAGATAATGTACATTTTATAAGCATTCTCTTAACACTGTTCATCTTCATGATAGAAATCCTGACCTGCCGTGGGCCATGCAGGAGAGGGTTACTGAATTGCTTGAAAAGGAGAAATTTGTTTTGCTCTTACGCATATGAAAGTTATGAGTCACTTTCCCTTATGACCCTACCACCTTTTGCACATGGGTAATGGCATTGAATTAGGCAAGGAGTTCCTCCATGGTAACCACTCTTCTCTGTTTTCATTCACTCTCCTAGGCAGGAGAAAAGCTATGCGGGGAAGCTGTTCAGGGAAGACATATTGATTTACTCAAGTTTCTACTGAGGTCAGTTCAGAGAAACTAGAGAAAGGGGGGGGGGAACAAGAATATGGTTTAGATTTTTGAGAAAAGGGCATCTGTATTTACAAACTTATTTATTTTATTTTATTTTATTTTATTTTATTTTATTTTATTTTATTTTATTTTATTTTATTTCATATTTTTTGCCCTATTCTAGTAGATATTTAGCAAAAATCATGACGTGGTTATGTAAAAATGTTGTTAGCTAAGTGACTTTATTAAACAATATGTGCATCTAAAATCCCTAGGTAGGCAATTCAGGCTTTCAAGTGCCTAGATGTTCAAACTGTATTTTAAGAGGGGTGCTTACTTTTTTAACTTCTTTAAAAAATGCCCTTCATGGTTCTTCTTGGAGAAAAAAATGTTGGTAGTGGGTGTTTGTAGTAGGAGAATTTTTAGGAATTAGTGTAGGTAATTAGTACAGGTAATTTTTTCTCACTAGTTCCTTTGTTTAGATTTTTTTTAAATAAGTATGCCAGAGGATAGAGTGAGAATTTTTACAGGTACTTGAGAAAGATAGCTGATCCCTGCTGGCATTCCTATGGAAGCTGAACACATAATCAAAGGGGAAGTTGCCTTGCTCAGCCAAGGGAGGAGAGAGGAGCTGGGGAAGGGAAAGGGGAAGGAGAGAATGCAGCATATTTCATAGGTTATCCTTACCTTTCCAAAGTTTACAAACATAAAAGCCATTCATTTCTATGTTTAAAACAGTCATCATCAAGCTGACAGGTCTTGGATGTGAGATACTGATGATTCAAACCTTAGCTGTACTTAGTTTGACTCAAGAAATCCCCAATGAATTGGAAGAAACATCGATTATATAGAAACAGGGCAAACTTGCTTGTTTTATGACTCTACTGCTTATTTTTCTTTCCTAAGAATTGCTTTCCATCTCTAGTAGGGTTGTTTTGTTGAAAATTGATTGGCTACCATGCTCCATTTGTCTGGAGTATTCTGTGTCATCAGCTTTATTATCTCAAGCTGTATTTTTTCCCACATGGAATAATTTGAAGGAATAAAAGTTGAAAGGGACTTTAGAATGCACTTTGTCCACCTTGAGTATTTTTTTAGATGAATAACTAGGATACAAACATGTTACGTGATTTATGCCAGCCCCACTGATCCTTCAGAAGTGGGACTAGAAGGCCTAC